TCTGCCCGCCGCGGTGCCGGAAGCTGCCTCCGTTCGACTTGACTGCGAGACGCCGTGCCGTTTGGCGCCTCCGATTCGCGTGCGCCACGGGTCACACTGGACCCCATCACGGGGGCGAACGAAAAATAGTCAGCCGATTGCACCCGGGACGCGTCCTCGAAGCTTGACTCCATACCGCCACCCATTCCGGGACTGGAAGCCATGCCGGTACTGGGCCCATCTGAACAGATGCTGATCAAAGCGCTACTCACCAAGGCGTCGCCTATTGAGACTTCGCTAACCCCCATGCCTAACACAGAGTCCGCACGACTTGTTTCCTCTCCGTTCCCGCGACCGTCATGCTTTTGCTTGGGCTGAGTGGACGCGCCCGCCGTTCCCTTGTGCTGACGGCTGAAGGCCGAGAACCCGGCGACCACGGAGCAAGAGAGACCGTTTGAGGACGCGAGTGTGGAACCGTCGCTCTGGACCGATGGCCGTGCGGTCAGTTCGCGATTGGGATTCGGACGTAGCCGCTGGTCCGTGCCGTCTTGCGTCGTCTTCTTTTCGGGTGTATGAAATGTAGGCGTGTGAAACTCCGGCACGTCGGAGCCCCTCTGTTCGGAGCCCCTCTGTTCGGAGCCCCTCTGTTCGGAGCCCCTCTGTTCGGAGCCCCTGTGGTCGCGGTCAGAGGCCTGGTCAGAGGTCTGATCAGAGGCCTGGTCGGCAGTCCGTTGACGGTCCGAATGGGGGGAGTGTTTATACTTTAGTCGTTCTCGTCTCAGTTCTCTTGAGTCATTTTGTATCAACTCGTTCTTTTTGAGCGTGTCCAGAAGCGAGCCAGCCTCTTGTTCGTCCCAAAGGGAGTTGCCATTGACTCTCTTTAGTGATGGAAAAACTTCCTTGGGATTTAGCTTAATGGGGCACCAGATGGCTACGAGATTGGGCATGTGATGTCCCAGACGTCTTGGGATGCGTGTTAAGCCTAATGATCGACCAGCACATTGGTTTGACAAGTCCAAAACTTCGAGACTAAGGTGCACGTCGTCCCGTGTCAAGTCTTCAGCCAGATCCTCCATGTTCGTGATACAGTTTTGACTAGCATCCAGCGACTGGAGGAGTGCCAGACGTGACAACCAACGCAGGCTCTGAATGGAACACCCGCGAACACTAAGAGTCCTCAGTCGTGGCAGTAGACTCAAGTTGTACAAATACGGCTCCAAAGTACCTTCTTCGATTTCCAGCCGTTTTCCCACCAACTGGGTCCCCACCAACTGCGTCCCAACCAATTGGTCGCCACGGCCATGATCGCCACGTTTTTTCTGGGCGGTCTTCTTCCTGCCATCCGTGACGGTCTGATCGTCGCCGCTACATACCGTCGAGATTTCCAGTTGCCGGAGCGCAGTCAGTTTGGCCAAATATACTCGGTCTTTCAGGAGGCCAAAGGTCTCAGGGGTGATCACGAGCGAGAGCAGCTCCTCCTCCTCCTCCACCTCCGGCTTGCGTTTTCGGCCACCTCCGAAAAGGGCCGGCGCCATTAAAAATTGATGCACTGCACGCAACTGACCGTGGGTACGGCTGGCCGCGTGTTGCTCGACCGCGTCACGCTGGTTGCTCTCCGTGGAAAAGTCACGGGCATCCTTGGCCCGTCTGGCGCCGGCAAAACCACACTGCTTAACACACTTCTCGGACGCGTCCCTCAAAACCAGGTCCAAGGTCAAGTCAGCACACGCGACCCAGCATGTACCGACCCAGCATGTACTGACCCAGCATTAACTGACCCAGCATTAACTGACCCAGCTAACACGCACCCTACGCGGACTGATGCTGGACGTACAGATGCTCTACACGCACGGACGGATGCTCTACACTCGCTACGAACGGCAGGGGCCGGGGAAGGGACACGTGGCCGCGAATCCTCCTTCGCGGAATCGAACGCCATCAGCGAGGATGACTACACGACCATCCGTTCGCTTTCACGCGGGGGATTGCGTTCAGCCCAGACGCGCCTGGACTCTGTTTTCGCGGAAAGTGCCTGGCCGTCCTCCGCCCTGAACCGGACGCTGGACCGGACATTAGACGGGCCCCTGAATCGAGAAAGGACCCTTCCCCTGGACAGGACCCTGCCCGTGCCCCGGACAGGGGGCACTGTTTTGTTTACCGGTGCAAGTAGCTTCGCTGACCTACAGGAGAGTGCGGAGCGTTTCGGCTCCCCTCTGGAAGTCCCCTCCGCTCCGTTGGCCCCGGCAGATGTGGCCTCTGCCACTGGTCTGTCGGTCGCCCGAGAAAGGTTGCGAGTGGGGTACGTGATGGCCAAAGATTCTTTGTATCCGTTTTTGACGGTGCGCGAAACACTGGAACAGGGTGCATGGTTGAGATTGCCGGCGCGTCTATCCAGGCGGTCGCGTGCAGCTGCAGTGGCGGCGGTCGTGCGGAGCATGCAGTTAGGCGCGTGTCTTGAGCAACTGGTCGGCGACCATATTTCTCGGGGCGAGCGGCGACGACTGGCGGTTGCACTTGAACTTCTTGCCTCACCCGATGTACTCGTACTCGACGAACCGACCAGCGGGGTCGACAGCGTGCTAGCGCTACAGCTCATGCGGCTGCTACAACGACTGAGTCGCGAGTGTGGCCTTACAGTCCTCGCCACACTCCACCAACCAGCAGACCGCGTACTCGAAACTCTCGACCATCTCGTTCTACTCATGCAGGGCCGCGTCATCTATCAAGGACCCGTACCCGAGGTCACGCCTTTCTTCGCCGCACATGCTGGCATCGGCAAACCTGCACACTACTCAGTCGCTGACTTCATGCTCGAAATCGCATCCTGTCCAGACCGCGCGACGGAACCCACCGAACGTGAGCTCGACCGCTACCAATGGGAACCCTGTCACGACCGAGAACCCCCCCTCGACCGAGAACCCCGCCATAACGAGCTGCCTCCCTTCTCTCCGAAGCTGGGGGGACCGGGTTTCCTCTCCGCAAGGAGTGCCGTCCAAACCGACAAAGGTGGCTTACTCGCTACTGTCGGTGCCGGCTGTGATGAAGAAGAAAACCTCGACCCTCAACGGCGCGGCTGCGCCACCTGGCGCGGCCCCGGTCCGGGTTGTCTTGAGTCCCAATCTCAGGCTCGCACTGTGGTGACACCAGGTGCAGGATTACGGTCAGGTTCTGCATCTTCGCACATACATACGGACTTGGTGCTTCCGAGACGTGCGGCGTCACGCTTGTTGAGTCGAACGTCGTCGTCGGGCGCTAAAGAGTGGACTATGTCACGCGTGCTGCACCAGATTTACGAGGCCTCGGGATACGGCGCGCGAGTAGAGGCACTGATCATGACCCAGCGCCGCCAGTTCCGTCTCGCCCGAATCCGGATGGGGGTCGGGACTGAGTTCTCAGGAGCCGAGTTCTCAGGAGCGCGTTCTGGGATGGAATCCAGGATGGGACCGGAGATGGGAGGGCGGGTAGAAACTTCTGGTTCGATGCCGTGTCTTATGAGCGAGGTTCAAGGCGTGCCCGTCTCGGTGGAGGACCTCGCCGCCTTCAATCAGGATAAGGCTGTGTCGTGGCGCACACAGTTCCGGGTTTCACTTGACCGCGCTTGGAAACGTCGCTCTCGCACCTGGCTGAAGACGCTGGTCATCTGGCTCGCTGCCTGGGTCCAGGCCACGCTTTTCGGTCTCGTTTTCTACGACATTGGGGGGCCCGTCGAACAAGTACAGATACCCGCCTTTAACACCTGGCCCTTCTGGCACTCTGACCCCATCCGCTACCTCAGTACTGGACTCACCGGCGGTCGAGACGCCGACCCGGTGGTGGAAGTGGATCCGGTGGGAATTGAACCAGTGGTGGGAATTGAACCAGTGGTTGGAATTGAACCAGTGGTTGGAATTGAACCAGTGTTGGGAATTGACCGGGAAGTTGCAATTGACTCAGGAGTTGACGCGGAAGTGGGAGGGGAAATTGAATCAGTGGATCCAGTTGCGGTGGTTGGTATCGGGGTGGGTGGTCGGAGGTTGGAAGCGGAGTCATGGTCGCCGGCATTTGGTTGGGATTCGTCTTGGTCGCGCACACGTGTGCGGCAAGATCCGTTTGTGGCGCTGGCGTCGGGAGGTGTTAACAGGCGGACTCGTTCGTCGGTGGTGTTGGATGTAGTGGCGAATTTGCCAGCGGTGAGTTCGTATCTGACGGCGGTGGCGACATGTTATCGGACACATATGCCGGCGGCGGAGGGGTCGTTGTCGGAGTGGCGTGCAGACGACAAGTTTAATGTGACCTTGGGTGAGGGTTACCCAAGTGTGCAGGACGTGCTTTCTGCGCTGGCGGCTTTGCCCCAAGTACTCTGGCTACTTGAACATTCCGAATTCAACTGGCCACCCCTCGAAGGAGTAGGACCCGATCCTGTGCGTTACTTCCTACCAGGTGTTATTCGAAGCGCCTCTCACATGACACCACTCGTGTGCTGTCTTGGCAACCCTCTGCCGTTCGCTTTTATAATAACTAAGTTCACCAAACGATGTCAACAACTTTACGGAACCGACTTGCCCACACCGCCTCGAGATTGGCAATGGTACGCAGCCGGCACTGACCTACAAGACATCGCGCACACACTGGGTCGACCCGACTCTGGAACTGAAGGTCCAGCGGCCACTACTCCTCCCAGGATACCCAACTATTCAGAGCTAGGTGGGAGTATTTCGATTGGGGACATGCCCATCGGGCAGTATAATAGCGTGATGGACATGCCCATAGCAGAGAAGTACAGCAGTATCCCGTTACAGAAGCGAGCCTTTCTCGAGGAATGGATTAAAACTCACCCGGATGACCAGAACCCTTCCGAAGAGGCTTTGGCCAACTGGGGTTTCAAGGCGTTCGATGTCTACGAAGGAGCACGCCACGAACGTACGACGACCACCACCACCACCGCCGCCCCGCCAGCGCCGGTGCAGCTCGATCGCGACCCGTTAGAGCTTTTGAAGGAAATGATTTTAGCGGGCGCACAAGCCAGCGCACAAGCCAGCGCACAAGCCAGCGCTCAAGCCAGCGCTCAAGCCAGCGCTCAAGCCAGCGCTCAAGCCAACCCTGCGACCGAGATCGGTTCGGAAGGCGGCGATGTACAGAGCGCTGCTCAGGATGCTCTACAGAACGTCAACGTCGCCCCGTCTTGGGCAGCTCCGGAAGGGGCGTCTGGACAAGGGGGGTCTCGGACGGCTCCCCAAGACAGGATAGTTCAACCAGGAGTTGGCATTCTCCAATCAGGAGCTGAGATTACCCAGCCGGGGGTGAGTGGCGCCCCGGCTCGCCGATTATCGTCTGGGTTGGCGAAGACGGTGGATGACGTGTTGGCGACGGTGACGAAAAGTACGCCGCGTTTGGATCGCCTGGTGGCGTCGTTGCGTCGTTTGCAAACACGTGTTTCGAGTTGCCCGGGGGAAACGGCGACTTGTCGATGGCTACGTCGTAAGGCGAGTGAAGTACAGAACGTGGTAGATGATTCGATGGCAACGGTAGGCACGTTGTTGAATGTTCAGGGTGTAATTCTGTTCCTTTTGATTAATTTGGGGTTCATGACTGCCGAGGTTTTGTCAGATGGACACAAGTACCGAGTGCCCTTTAATCGTGAGCGCTCGCTCAAACTGATTCGTTCTAGCTCCCACTTAACCGCGAACATGCTTGTAGACTTTCCCTTCCATTCAGTCGTTGCCGGCATATTCACCACTGCCTTCCTGCTGCTTACGCGGCTCCCTCTGTATTCCTACACTATGGTCCTTTCGCTCTATCTCACTGTATGGCTGTTCAGCTGGTCCGCCTACTCCGTCGCGTATGTGGTCGCCAGCATCGTCGACCGCGTCGACATCGGGGCAGTTTTACTCGCCGGTGTAACCGCCGTCATGCTCATTGTTACCGGCATGTTTGTTGGCGACGCAGGACTCCCGGGATGGATACTCTGGCTTAAATCTTTCAGCATCTACCGCTTCGGCTACTCCGCTCTCACCCTGGTCCAGTTTCCCGACAACAATAGCTTCGGTGTCCTACCAAATGAAATAGCACGTGCAATTGCCGGGCTACAAGAATGGGATTACAGCTACAACATCCTTATGATGCTCACACTAGGTCTATTCTACAGAATGCTCGCTATCGTCTTCACTGATATGCTATACAAGCACGTAGGACAGGAAACCTGCTAAAAATATGGCACTTCAAAATCGTGTGCTGTGTTCGACACCGGTATCGATAACAAATTTACTGGTCATGAGAGTCGCGCTGAGCCTACTACCACTTACCATACTTGCAGCTGAGTAAATACCTCTACCCGGACTCCTCCTATACTCCCGGCTACGCTGCCAAGATCGTTACCCCAGACATAATTCACTACCTGACCAGTCATGACCCGACGAAATTACCTGACATGATTATACCCCGACCCTACCATACCCCGACCCTACCATACCCCGACCTACCATACCCCGACCTACCATACCTCGACGGGCCATACCCCTTACATCATCGATCTTCTAACAGGACGGGTAAAAGCATAATATATGATGCTATCGTTTATACGGACAACAATAACCAAGTGAAGTATCTCAGGGGAAGCAGTACTCAGGGGCACGTCGTGGACGCGAAGCAGGTATCCGTGGACACAGCCGAACAAGTTGCTCAGCCGACTGGGCAATCGATTAGCTCGTCGATTAGTCGCGAGGTCGTACCTCGACGAGGGCAGGAAACGATTGGCGACTCAGAACTGGGATTCGAGCAAACACAGCTCGCCCAAGCCCAGACGCAAGCCGCTCAAGCGCAGGCTGTCCAAGTTGAGCAGGAGCGTGTGGCCCAGCAAGAAGAGGACGCTGTTAACTTGACCGTTTCGCTCGCTGCCGATGTGCAGATTCAAGAACCTGTGGTTCCCGAAGCGGACCACCGCTTGGTTCAAGAAGCCGTGGTTCAAGAAGAGGCTGTGGCTCCCGGAGTAGCGATGGCGCCAGCCGTTTACTTTGTTGCGGGGGAGGAGGTGGGTGGTTGGCCTGCGGAGGTGCAAGATCCCGCCCCGGCGGAGGCGGTGATGAATGGGTCGCAGGCGGCAGAGTCAGTGGTGGGTGGTCCAATAGTGGAGAAGTCAGCGGAATTAGCCACAGAGTCGTCGTCATCGGAGGGGTCGTCATCGTTGCCGGCAGGGGGACCATTGCCTGTGCGCGAGTACCTAAGTAGTTCTTTGTTGCATGCGTTACAGGGTCGTGGATTGGATCAGTTTGTTTTATCTGTTGAGCAGATGTTAGCTCAAGGTTTGTCGGGTGCTCAGAGTCTGTTGTTACGTGACGCGCCATGGGGTGTGCGACAGCGGGAGGCGATTCGTCAGGCGATATTGGATACTATCGACGTGGCAGGAAGGGAAGCTCGGGCGGCGGTAAGTGAAAGTCAGTTTAGTGTTCCGTCAGCTCCCCCGTTGGGTATCGTGCCGATTCCGGCTCGGACGCCTGGTAAGTGGACTGGTCGTGCGGCAGCCGACGGAACTGGAGAGAAGTTACCATCCTTCGCGGACGTGGTAGCAGACCGTTGGGCAGAGACGGTGAAGGAGACAGTGAACTTACCGAGGATGGGTCCGTTTAATCCGGCCAGTTGGCGACCTGAGGAAGTGGCGGCGGTTTTAGGTCCGTTATTGAACATGATACCTCATGAAGTGACACAGTTGATTGAGCATCGTGCCCGTGCACAAGCAGATTTGGGAATGGATCATCGTGCCATTGACGCAGCTGCGAACGCCGCACAACGTGCGTTTGGAGACACAGTCTATCAGGCAGATGTCGCCGGCATAGGACATCTTCAGATGGGCAATAAATGGGCACACTACAAACTGAAGCCCGCCATCCTTGATCTACCACTTTTAGGACCCGCCAATCCCGCACAACAATTAGCTGCTAACACGCATATCAGTCTACCCTTCAAGGCCTCACGAATTGATGGACCAAGACCACCTTTCCTAGCACTCGAAAACTTGGCACTACTCAACCCACTCAATGCTTACGAACCAAAAAAGGCTAAACCCGAACTTCCACTACACTCCATACTCACACCCGTGGACCGCAGAAGGAGAAGACTCAATTCCATCGATGACTTCATCAACGAATGGCATCTACTTGAACGACCATTCCTCCGAAAAATACTCCATTATCTCCCTTCATCCAAACGAAACACTGATGACTCCCTTGACGGACAGACCATCGCAAACGGACAGACCATCGCAAACGGACAGACCATCGCAAACGGACAATCCGCTGATGATCGCAGTCAAGAAACAAACAAAGAACCACGCAGAGAGGATCAGGCACGGGGCTTGATGCGGCGAACCACAGAGGCATTTGAGGAGGACGCCACCAGATCTAACCAAGAGCTTCATGAGGACAGCCAGGATACACTTTCTATAATGACTGGAAAAAGACACATGAGAGATAAAATCGAATTCGGTGATGACCATGATGTACTCCGAGGAACTGACATCTAAATACTACCAACCATATTCCGGAACAGAGTGATTACGGAACAGAGTGATTACGGAACAGAGTGATTACGGAACAGAGTGATTACGGAACAGAGTGATTACGGAACAGAGTGATTACGGAACAGAGTGATTACGGAACAGAGTGGTTCCCCAAGTAGTTCGCCGGAACTCAAGTCGTCATTCTGGACCTCACAAGTGTATCATAGTCCGTATTGAAAGGTGTGCAATTACACCACGCAGATGGAGATCATATGGAACTATTTCCCTTTCAGTTGTGACGGCAAAATGCGGGGGCGGCGGCGTTCTCACAATTGTCCAATTTAGTCGTCGTCCAACGGAATATCGCCCCCGTGAGCGACGAGGTCGAGCAGGAACGACTTCTCATTTAGTCGTTCCCACCGATTCAGCTGCGTCGTGGTCTTTGCCGTGAACGCGTGACAGAATTCCCTGAAGCCCTCTACCTTCTTCAAATCCATAACACTAAAAAGTAGTTAGACGTCACTGGGGGTGGCGAAGTGGAAGGGGAAGTGGAAGTGAAGGGGAAGGGGAAGGGCAAGGGGAAGGGGAAGGGCAAGGGGTGAGTTTACTTGTAGGCTTGAATGATGGAGTCGCAAATCCAGTGTGCGATATAGAGTGTGGACTGTCTTTTGCAGAAGTGCACAGCTGCAAGGAGGAGGACCTCGATGTCTTCTACGGTTTTGAATTCCTCCCGGATCATCTGCACCAGGTCCAGATCAGGTCCGGTGGCGTTCTGACTGACGCCATGCTCAGTTTCAAATGTGCTGATTTCAAGTGTGGTTGACTCGATGAGTTTGGCGACGACTTTTTCGAAAATGTCGACGCTCTTCCATTTGCAAGCGGCGCGGATGGCGCGAGCATATTGTCCTTGTGCGATCCAGATGTCGGCGTTGGCGCGGTCATTTCTCTGTGCGCGATCGTGTGCCGTTTCTTCTTGTTTAATTTCTGTACCGCGGTCTCTCCAAAGTGCCGAGCTACCATCTGCGGCAACGGAGATGAGTGCCGGTTGATCGGCGAAGGATGCTTCCATGAGTGTGGTAATACGGTCATCGTGTGCAAGACTGGTGCCGCAGTACTCCACGGCGAGTGTGCTTGATACATCCCAGGCCTGTACCGAACCGTCGGCGCAGCCGGCAGCGAGACGATTACCCTGCATAATGTACTTGAGCACCAGCACGTGGTTGGTCGCACCCATGATGGTTTGCTGGCATTCGTGCGTCTTCAGGTTCCAAATGCGCAACGTCCCGTCTACACTCGCCGAGGCCAGGTATGGCTCGGCCGGGTGGAACGCCAACGCCGTTACAGCCGCCTTGTGTCCCTTCAGCACCGCCAGTGCCTTCCCGTCGCTTGGCCGCCACAGCCGCACAGTCCGGTCTGCGCCGCCGCTCGCCAACACCTTGTTCGAACCGTTTACTGCTACGCAGTACACCGGCTTGTCCGCCGCCTTCCACAACACCGTCGACGTCTCGAACTCGCAACCCGGCACACCTGGGTTCGAAGCCGGACTCTGTCCCGACTTCAAATTTTCCGGACCCAAATTCAACACCCACAGCCGAATAAAATTGTCCGAACCGACAGTAGCCACAAAGGGCTGCCCAGCAGCAATGGTCGTGGCCTCCGCCGCCACCGGCTTCTGGCTGAAACATGTGTTTGTCAGAGAACCAACCGCTCCAGTCCGACACGCGGCAACCAACATTCCCTGCTCCATGTCTACCACGCACAATCGACCCAACTTCGTCACGAACGCCAAATACCTCCCACATTCCGACATATCCACAGCCGCAATCACCTCGTCACTGTTCACCAACATCTCCGTAACTTCGCACTCGCCGCGGTCCCATATTACGCGCTCGCGGATGACGCTTCCGTCGATCCCGCATGAATACGTAACCGAACATCGACCCACCGGACCCGTAGAGGCAACGTCCTTAGGGACACCCGCAGGGGTAGGGGTGGGGGCCAGGACCATGCCGACGGCGGCGGAGGAGCTGGTGCCTACACCGCGTAGCGCTTTGTTGGGCTCGAGCGAAGGCGCGTTCAGGCGCCAGTGTACGAGGCCCTGGTTGGTCGTGATGACGACGAAGGCGTCGTTCTTGGGCGACTTAAAGAGTCGGCGGATTGGCGGTCGTGGGACGTGGAACTGGTAGGCTTGAGCGGCGCTCGTGCGATATGGCACGGTCTGTTTCCGTACAACATCTAGCATGACCACAGCGCCCGCCTCCGTCCCAGCGAGGGCGAACCAACCTGGTGCATTTTGGAGAAAGGCCTGGTCGATGATGGCCTCCTCCACGGCCGCCCGGGGCACAATGACGATGCTGGCATATGTCTCCTTCGCACTCATTGCGACCAAACACTTGTCCAAAATCCGCAGCGAGGAGTCCGCCTCCATCACCTTCTTCACAGCACTCGTATTTTCGGCGGCCAGCGCCATCCTCTTGGCACCATTAGCGTTTTTAGACGCGTCCGGAGTGTTGGAGGCAGTGAGTAGTTCGAGTGCGTGGACGGGGTGGCCTAGGTCTATGAAGCCGTTGTGTCTCAGTTCCTTCGAGGCTCCAAAATGCTTCTGCTTACACTTCTCCAAAACCCGTTCCAGCACCGTCTTGAGAGACCACAACTTCACTTGGCGATCGCCGCCAACAGTGAGGAAACAGGGCACAAACCCGTTCGTCTTACCTAGGGGCAAATTGATGTCCACGAAAGCCGCATCCAACACTGCCGTTGAGTGGGCCTGTGCCGAGACCAAGATGACGTTGCGACACAAGTCCATCACATGCACCACACCCGTGCTACTACCCAATAGTAACAACACACGCGTTTGGTGGAACCGTAACAAACTGCACTGGTCTCCGTTGATAAGCAATCCCTCAAAGTTGTGGGTCAACGCACCCGTTGTCATGTCGTACACCTTGCAACGGCCGTTCGAAGACGCCACCGCTACCACCGGCACTGTATTGTGGCACTCCAACCAACGAGGCGCGCCTCCCGGGGCCGAAAACATCCATGATGCCACTGGCTTGAATGCCGATGCCTTCTCCGTGTCGCCGTCCTGCATCGCCACGTCCTGAGACTCCGCCACGTCCTGAGACCCCGCCGCGTCCTGAGACTCCGCCGGGTTCTCGTAGGTCCAAACCTGGACCGTTCCGCTCCTGTGCAATCCAGCGATATATAAGATACCTACCGCGGTGATGGTGGTTGCTATCTGTATGACGTCATCGAAGACCGCGCTGGCGAAGCCTTCTTCGTCCAGGGTGCCTTTTTTGCGCGAGTCCAGACCACCACCAAGAGTCGCTATTTGGTCGCCCCGAGCGCTCGTGACCTGAATACGGTCTCGGTCGCCACTCAATATCAGCTCCCCGAGCTCCGCGCCTGCGGCCAATCGACCCTGCGTGTAGACATAAGTAACACAATCTCCCGCGGCGGCAGCACCGATGGAACGCCACACCTGGTAAGGGAACCGTCGACTCATGCCCCAGGGGAATTTTAGAAAATGACCCGCGGCCAGGCAGGGCTAACCTGGACGCGAGACGACCACGGAACAGCCAAACGATAAGGGGGCATAAACTTGGGTACACACCTTGATGCAAAACATTGGCACAGACCTTGATACAGATATTGTACAATCACTGCACTAGTTTAAACACTGGTGCAAACCTACCAGGAGTAACCAACCACACGCTGATGCCCAAATGTCCATAACCTGTGGTCGTAAGCGTGTTCCATACTGCCTGTATCATGCCCGTAGGAAACGAGACGTCGCGGACACGAAACGTCTCGTGCCGAACGACTAGAGGACGCGCCCAATAGACAGATCCACCTCGTAAAACCACTTGTAGAATCCCCTTGTAACTCAGTCCGGCACGGTTCGGTTGTCATTCACGATTCTTATTCTGGAGCTTGACCGATCACGCGCGCGGGGATGCCAACAATTTTTCAATGAAATCTTCCGCGGCCCCCGGGGCGAGCTCAAGCGCGGGCCACGGTAGGGAAGTGGTTGTTCTGACGGTTCTGGAAGCCTTCATGGTGGACGGCGAGACCGCAGGTTACCAGCAATCGTATGGTGGACTGGGGTATGACGACCGGAGGTATGACGACCGGAGGTATGACGATAGACGGTATGACGATAGAAGGTTTGACGATAGACGGTATGACGACAGAAGGTTTGACGATAGACGGTATGACGACAGAAGGTATGACGCCCACTTGTTGCCGCGCGGGTCGTCTGATAGGGGTTACTTACCGTTGGATGGTGGGTATCACGATCGGTGGTACGGTGGTACGTACAGACGGTGCACCGACTCCAAGTGCTGGTGCCATAAAAGCACTCATCGGGCCGACAAGCACCACTGGTGGCAGTGCAAGAAAAAAAAGAAAGCGCTCGACCATGCGTCATGTGGCCCCATTATCGACTCTTCGATCCCCTGCACCTGTGATGACGGAGACTGGCCTCAACCCAACCATCGTTGGGGCGGACGAGAGGCTCGTCCTAGCGACCTCTCCTCCCGCGAAAGATTGGAGCTCCTCTATCTGCAGCAGAAACAAAACGATATCTTGAGCGAAATGGCTGCCGTCGAATACGCCAGGGCACTGGCCAACAACCAAGCGACCGGAACTCAACCCCAGCAGCCCGTGGCCAGACTGGTACAACCGCAATTTATCCAGCCTCAACAAATCGCATCCGCCCCATATAACCTAGCATTCGGTACTGCACCGTATTCTGCAACGTATTCTGTTCCTCAAGTGTTTGTGCCCCAACCGCAGCCGCCATTCGCCGTGCCCCAGGACACACTCGTGCGGTTTCAGTAGCGCAACAAGACAGGAGGTCGCATGAGACGATGGACGGGCCCACAGCTGGGCTGCTTCGACCTGGCTCATGCTCTTGAGTGGCCTCTTCCTGCTCTTGGGGAGCTCGCTCATCTTGGGGAGCTCGCTCATCTTGGGGAGCTCGCTCATCTTGGGGAGCTCGCTCAGGCAACCACAGTTGCGTTCCCTCAGTAGCATCAGTCAGCATTTTTCAACCCATTAGACCGTTGAAGCGATAAGCAAAAGAGTTCAACAAACAGACGGATACCACAGGGAAAGAGATATCGATAAAAGAGACCTAGCCGGGCGGGCAAGGGACCCACTCGGGCAAGGGACCGAGCCGAGCAAGGAACGACCACAAAAGAATGGATGATAAAAGACGACGCCCAAGTTTGTTCTTGTCCATACAAGGCGTGGTGGCAGCGGCCAGTCGTCGCAATGCGAACCGCGCGGAGGATACCCGCAAGGATTGGCTCCGTCAAGTAAGCCCCCCAACCCCCTGCCTGATTGGTTGGTTGGTCTTCCCCCCCAACCCCCCGATCGGTTGGTGATCCCCCCGGCCCCAATGCAGTGTTTGGTTAGAGTTCGTTTCAAGGGGATGGTCGGATGACAGGTGGATTGACCACGTTGGGTATTTTGGGTGCCATAGTGGTGGCGTTGGTTTGCGGATTATTTCTGGGTATGTTACTGTTCCAGCCAACTGTGGTTATAGCTGGGTATGACCCTACATCGAGTAGCAAGTTAAGTTTCTATGAGACGCGAGATTTGGCCGGTGTCAAGGTCGATGTGGATGTGGTCATGGTGATAGAGAATACAAGTCGTGTACCAGGACAACTTAAGTTCTCTGGCAGCCTTGCTGACACGACCGGCATACAACTTGTGGCCTTAGGCAATGGTACTCTCAGCGTCGTCATCATGACCGGCTACGTAAAAGGCCTGTCTTCCAGCGGCGGCGTCAATCGCTCCGTCGTCCCACTCAAAGCCAGGCAAGCCCTCGTTGTCGACTTCGCCTTCCACGGCGCCACTTCCGGCTTCGGACTCGCCACCTTCGACGACTACGCTCTCAGACTCGCTGCGTAACCACCACACCCACAAGAGTTTCCACCCACAAGAGTTTCCACCCACTCACAAACACACATTGGCACACACTTTGCACACATAAGTTTGCAGTCGGCACACGTGAGTTTTATCAGGTCCAAGTGTCAGGAATACGGCTACACATTGGCTTACATTCAGTTGGAAACGATGAACTTTTTTACCCTTTCTGGTTTCGCGTCTAGTCATACCTATCAGTCTGGCGTTTTCGAAATTCCATGCGAGACATGGCAAGTAACTCAATAAGGAAGTCCTCTGGTTTTAATTTCTGTACCGGCCTCACCGCTGCCGTTGGCCTGACGTCGTCCTGGCCTGCCGTCGTCCTGGCCTGACGTCGTCCTGGCCTGACGTGCATCTGGGTGCATCTATGATCCGGACGTGGAAGTTGTGATCGGGATTTCAAGCTGGACCAAGGATGGCGCGCCATGGCACGCATTGTGTGGTTGCCTTCGGTAATGGTGGCTAGTCTCGGCAAACGAATTCGGTAATTGTCGAATTGGCCCTTATGGGGCTTCTGGTCTTGGTGTGGGACTTCTGGTCTCGGTTGGGTCGTGGCCTTGGTGTGGGGAGAGTGTGTCTTCACACCAGTTGTGTCCTTTCTGATTGTTAGGGGGCCATAGCATGTGTGAGGAGTGCGCCGATTGCACTGAAGATGCCGAGGCCGAGGAGTATTGAGGCAATGCCAACAGAGGAGAGGAGTGCGGACATGGTCATGATGACGGAGATGGCCATGATCCTGGAGTTCATGGCGGAGATACCGGAAGCGAGTCCCTTGACTTCTGGTCGGAATATTTCTGCGGGGTAGACAAGGGCAAGTGGTGCGCCGCAGCCGTTGAGTACCTCAAAGGCGACGAAGGCGGTGATGAGAGCGAGTTTGGCAACGGGGCGGTCTCCACCTGCGACCAGTGGTTGCAGGAAAGCCATAGCGCAGAAGGCCCCAGCCACGCCCCATTGACTGAGTAGGAGCAGTGGTTTGCGGCCAACGAAATCCACCAGGGGGATGCCCAATGCCACACCCGACGCAACCGCTGCTGCGAGGAAAGTGTTGAGTGTGAAAGCGTCCATGGCCAATCCCAACTCGGAAATGATCGCCACAGCAAAGGCCGATACGGCGTAAGTTGGCACCACTAAACTGCCCCAGAAAGAGCTCACAAACACGATCGACTTGCCTGTGCTCATGCCCTCACTTGAGCTCGGAGACGACCCGTGTTGCTCAGGCACCGCACACTGGCCCTCTTGGGCGTTTTGAGGCATGCTGTCCTGCTGGACGGCGCAATGTCCCGTGCGGCTGCAGACCAGGGGGTTGCATATCTGGGTGGTGGGGTTGCATATCTTTATGCCTGGGTTCGCTTCCAGGTCATGGACACGTGATACCTTGTTTTTTGCATCAAGCCAGGGCTGTGATTCTGGGAGGCAGTAGGCGAAGTAGCTGAGGGTGAAGAGAGTGGGTATGGCGGAAAGGAAGAGTGTGGTGCGCCACTTGAGGGAGTCAGAGTTGAGTTGCGCGTTGAGGAGCGCGCCGACGGCGATGGCCATGAAATTGCCGGTGAAGAAGTTGAATTCGGTGAATGATAAGAGGCGTCCAATGTACTCCGGGTTGAGTGACTCGGATAGGTAGGTGGTAATAGCGGCGTAATGAGCACCGACAGCCCAGCCCACGGCGGCTCGGGCGAGGCAGAGTGAAAGGACTTCGGGACTGAGTGCTTGGAGCACAGAGCCAAGAATAAGTGCGGTCCAGGCGCTCATGATACATCGTCGACGGCCGTAGGCGTCAGCGACCCAACCACCCATGGGACTGCCCACCATGTTGCCCGCCAATGCAGCTGCTCCCAGGGCACCCCTCCAGCCGTCTGTTAGTTTCAAATCCGATGTCGCCGGCTCCATTGCCGGCGAAATCGCTCCCATCGCATAGCCGATGCAATTGTGCGTCAGACACACAGTTATCAAGATCCGCAGTTCCACTGAGCTAAAAAGCGCACGTGGCGCCTCCAACTTAATCGCCGACATCTCGCCCCAAGCGCTGTCGGTCATCGCCCAAGCGCTCGCTCTCAGGAAAACCCACACACGTATGCGGCGCACACGCGCGCGGCACGGCGGATGGCGCACACCGCCGCAAAGTACTCACGACGGCAACACGCGTCATTGATAGGAGCGACCAACTAACTAGGTTCCACCACCACCCCCTCATCCTAGTCCTGACCACTCCTCGACTCCACTGCCTGGTTGCAAGAACGAGTCGTAACAACGTGCCTTGCAACAACACACGCTGCAACAAAGCGCGTTGCAACAAGAACGTTACAACAACGCGTTACAAGCCCGGCCATTATGAGCGATCGCAGGGCAGCGGCGTGCCAGCAAGGCCGTGGAGCAGCGCCCAGAATTACGGCGGCATACGCGCTCCAGGCGTGTGCACACGCGTGTGTGCTGGCTGCACGCGGCTGCAGGGTGAAGGTTTTTACCGGAAGTGGTCGGAGAGGCGCCTGTTGGACTCGGTGATGCGTCGTCCGCTGCGTTGCTGAGACTCTTCGACGAACTGACGGACGGCGCCAGTGGGGGCAGGAACGCGGTCAAGTTGGGTGATGACCTTGATCTTGGCTGCTTGCAATTTGTCTTGTTCGGAAAGCAGCGCACGTTCTGCGGTACGAACGGGTGAGTGTCGCCGCAGGACGGGTGACCGGACGACCTTAGGCACGGTCTTGGCCACTTGCTTGGCCCCATGTCGGTCGTCAGCACGCGTTGACGACCGCTTGCCAACCCCACCCTTAGCCACCCCATCCAGTAGTCGCCGACTGACCAAAATGGGCGCTCCGATCTTCAAGTTTTTTACAGGAGTCTGTGTCCGCCTAACCGCTGGCACACCTGCACTCCGACGGGTTGGCGTAATCACCGGCCGGTCCTTCTTCGTGCTCTTGGCACCACTCTTGGGGCCGCTCTGCCCAGTCTTGCCCGCGGACCCCTTCGCCGCCTTCTCAGACTTGTTCTTCTCCGGCTTGCGACTCGCAATGAGGTCGTCCAATGACAGGTCCATTTTTAAAAAAAAGAAACTACACAACCATCCAGACGCCAATTTAACACATGCTCCTCAGTCTATACATCAATAACAAACACGGCTCACTCATATTTCACAAAGTACCAACGCACCGAAGAAACTCTAATACACTGGACAAGCCGAGAGGAAGGGTATCCACACCCTACACATCTGTGCATCCACACACCCACCCTACACATCGACCCATGCGTCGACGTGCACGTGGACGTACACGTGGACGTGCACATGGACGTACACGTGGACGTGCGTGTCTCAAGAAGCAAACGTGTGTGCGACGAACACAAACACGCGCGTTTCGGCGAACGCGTGTCCAACACATATATATCCCACCACACGTATACCCCCCCCCCCCCCAAA